CGTATCCTGTGTGAATAAAAAAAATGATACAATATAAAAGTTACTATGCATCACTTTCGTGCCCGCAATGTTTTTTTTTTGCTAGGATTTCCACATAATGCATTTTGTCCCGAAACTTTACACACATGTATAACGCTACAACATGTTTGCTACGAAAAAGTTTCAAAAATATTGACTTTTCTAGTCTTTTTTAAAAATGTTTTTCCTAAAATGGGTGTACCTACCATGTCCCAAAAATTCAAGCCGATCTTTCTCTAGAAACCATTTCCAGTTTATTTTTTTCTAAAGTAAGCAATCTGACATTTTCCATGGTTTTCTCTTTAGGCGACGTGCACTCGGCAAGGATAACCCCATCGAAGCGCTTGGCCTGTGGAGCGTCTGTGTCTCGCCTGCAGCGAGCCACAAGCACCTCTCACGTCAAGGACGCCATAAATGGGCTGGTCCATATTCATGCAGGTACACGAGCACCAGTTTTTGTCCTTTTTTCGTTCGTATTTATTTTAAAAATATTATGATGTTATATGTTCCAAAGAGTTACTGACTTATTTTCCTGAAATGTTCACCACGAATGTTCCAAAAATGTTAACGTATTGTAATGTTCTTTGTCATTGCAATTTTATAAAAATAATGATAGAAATTTTTTTTTGTGACATTTAAAAATATTTAACTTGGCACATTAAAAAATATGTACGTGAAAATTTGATTAAAGCTATAAATTGTAAAAATATGTGTGTTTATTAACAAACAAGTTTCATACATTCCAACAAAATTCACCCATTACAAAAATATGTCTGTGACATTCTAAAAATGTTTATGCATTTTGTGCATAGATTCAAAATTGATTATTTTTTTTGCCAATTTTAGAACTTTTAGGAATGTTGATGAACTTTATCCCAAATTAAATGAACTTTCTTTTTTAAAATCGATGAACTTTTTCTAAATTCATGAACTTATTTGAAATTTGTGAACATTTTACAATTTTGTACGTACCTTTTCAAATTCGTGAATACTTCTGAAATTCGGCATTTTTCTCAATTTGTACGAACCTTATTCAAATTTGTGGTTGTTTCAATTTTTATGAATTCCTTCAGTAATTTAGTTTTTCTTTATTAAGCAATTTATATTGGTCAAATAGCACATATTTTCCCGTTAGTAAACAACTAAATGAGCTCGTTCTAGTTGTTGTCATACCATGCCGTAAGGATTGGCGTCCCATGTTTGATTCCCACTACTTTCATGCCACTATCTATTTCTTTTATTTGACACTTGCATGTTACTGGGCCGGCCCTCTCGACGTCGGGTGCAAGCGCCAATAGCGCTAGCTAAGGCCTCCTATATGGTGCGGTGCGCACCCGTTACGGGCGCACATTCATAAAAAGACAGACATAAATGGGAGATGCTAGGATGCAGTCCCGAGCTCCTAGCCACTAGGCTCATGCCGTTTTGGTGTTAAAGTAGCTGGGCGCGCCCTACATGAGGCATAAAGAGCCGGTTTTCACTTGTTTTTCAGGTTTTCCTCCTTTTCTTTTTCACTTTTTCTTTTCTTTTCTTTTCTTTTCTTTCTCCATATTCTTCTGTGTTATGCATTTTTTTCCTTTTCCACTTTTTTTGTTCTTTTTCTTTCTTCTTCTCAGTTTTCTTGTTTTTCTAATTCCTTTTTTGATTGTTTCTTTGGTTTTCAATGTTTTTTCATTTTCTTTTCTTTTTTCGTACATGTCAAAATATTTTTTTCTAACAAGTGATCAACAATTTTTGTATACACGTTAAACATTGTTCGAACGCTATGTCAACATATTTTACATACTTGTTCAACATTTAAATATTTATCAACATTTTCTTCAAATACTTGTTCAACATTTTGAATACATATTCAAGATTTTCAAATACTTGTTCAACATTTTTCATATACTCATTCAACATTGCTTAATATCTATTAAAAAAATTCAAATATTTTTTCAAGTATTTTTTCAACATTTTTAATACTTATTTCAATATTTTCAAATAACTTTTCAACAATTTTCAGATTCTTTTTCACCATTTTCATACACTACGAACATTTCTAATACCTATTCAAAATTTTCAAATACTTGTTAAACATTCTTAATACTTATTCAACATTTTCAAACACTTGTTCATCATTTTTTAGTACTTATTTAACATTTTCTAAAATGTGTTCTTGGAGAGTTTTTTTTGGAATATATACATGTACAGATATGTTGAATATTTTAAAGTATAAAGAAAAGTAAAAAAATTAACAAAAAATGAGAACAGTAAACAGGCTGTGGCTCCCGCGTTGCTGGGCCGGCCGTCTGGGCCTCGCCCAAAGCGAGCGCACCCCCCTGTCTCGCTTGAAGCGAGATATACGAGCGCCCCACTAGGATTCGTGCGCGCCATGGCTGGAGGACCGCTGTATTTTTTCGTTTTCAGTTTTCCTTTTTATTATGGTTTTTTTTGTTCTATGTTAAAATAATTCGCTTTTAACACTTGAATTTAAAATGTAGGAATTGCAAAAGAATGAACATTGTTTGAATTTTAATTAACAATTTTTATGAACAAGTTTTATAAGCATTTTTTAATAATCATGAATTTTTCCAACATGATAAACTAAGTAGGTATTTAAGAACTTTACAAAAATGGATGAATAAATTTTCAATTCATTAATAAAATGTTGAATTGGATGATCTTTTTTTAAATTGATGAACAAAGAATGAGTTTGATGAACTTTTTAAATGCTTGATTAATATTTTTATCTGCAATATAAAAAAGTAATCATTTTTTAATACATGGTCAACATTTTTTCTATACACATTTAACATTTTCAAATGCTTTATCAACATTTTTCAAATACTTATTCAACATTTTTTCAAATGCTTGATTAACATTTTTATCTGCAAGATAAAAAATATCATCACTTTTATAATACATGGTCAACATTTTTTCTATACACATTTAGCATTTTTCAAATGCTTCATCAACATTTTTCAAATACTAGTTCCAAAAAAATCAAATGCTTGATTACCATTTTTTTATTACCTGATCAAATTTTGTATACATTTTGCATATACGCGATAACATTTTTTTCTATGCACATTAAAAAATCAAATGCTTGGTCAACATTTTATAAATATGAGACATAGGACGTCAACACCAAAGTCATGGATAATTAAGCATTCGCACGGAGGAACCGGCCTCAGTTTTTCATATATATATACTCCCTCCGTCCGGAAATACTTGTCATCAAAATGAATAAAAGGGGATGTATCTAGATGTATCTTAGTTCTAGATACATTCATTTTTGTTTATTTTGATGACAACTATTTTCGGACGGAGGGAGTAGGTAGCAAGCACTCTACTCCCGCTCGCATGAGCGAGCAGCAATCAAATCAATTCACACAACACGAGCAGCCACGCTGCTTTTTATTACAAGTAGTATCAGCTGCTACTCTGCTCCGGCTCAAAACGGGCCGGGAGACAGACGAACAGACAAACACCTATGGAGCTGAAGCCACACAAACCAAACACACACACAGAGATACGCTGCCGGCGGTCGCACCTCGACCACGGGCAGGCCAGCACGCAGGAAGCAACCAAGCCATGTCGGTCGGCTGTCTTTCTTATTTCAAAGGCAAAGCACACAGCAAACGGAGGCCGGACGTCACGGCAGGAACCATCCTCAAGCTCCATACCTTTGCTTCTGATGACATAACCACCACCACCAGCAGCAGATGCATAGTTCAGGACGATTTTCACCTGGCAGATTGCGAAGCAAACCAATTAGTTAGCTACAATGTTAATGATACAACAACAGATGCAGTGACTACGCCTATATGATGATGTATACTGTGATAATAATAACAATAATAATAATAACGTGTCTACTTACGAGGTGTATACCTGAGAACGGTGCCCCTGGGCATGGGCCTCTTGTAGTGCCGCGACTGCACGGGCGCCTCGTAGAGGGAAGGGTGGTGCCCCGACTCCAGAGCGTCCCACACGTCCTTCTCTATCTCCACCGCCGGCCTCCTCATGCCTGGCTCGCGGCCCATCAAGGCCGGCAGCCGGCGCAAGCTCCAGCATCCCCTGATCCTTGTGCTCTCCAGTGCGGGCGCCTGTGTCTCGGCGTCCTCGCATACCTGCTGCAGCGACGGCAGGTCGTGCAGGTGGATCGTGGTCAGCTTCGGGAACTCGACGCTGCTGCTAGGAGGATGCTCCTTGTTGCTTTGCACAAATACGTGCACGAGGCCGCTGCAGCGGATGATGCAGAGGGTCTTCAAGTTGGGGAAGGAGCTACCCTTGCATACTGGAAGCGCGTACTCCAGGCTTGGGCATGAATGAAGGTGCGGATGTTGCAGACTTGTGAAGTCGTAACCATAGCTGGAGCCTTTCATCCAAATGCAACGGGCCATCAAGAGATCTGACGCCCAGATGGTCTCCAGATAAGGGCCTCCCGTTTCATAGGTATTCAGAGGAAAGACAGTGTTCAAGTTGGGGCACCTCTCCACTCGGCACCACCTAAGGCGCTCCATAGAACCTGCAGGCATGGCATGGCCTCTAATAGAAGAATCATGCACATGCAAGGACTGGGCAAACTCTCTCATCACAGAAGGTAACGAATAATATCTATGCAATTGCAATTCACTCTCCACACCACAGCTCCCATCACCAATCTCAATATGACGGTCCAACTGTGATGTTGGAGGCTGTGGGAAGTCCCACACCGGGCCAACCTCATTGCAGATATCACCATAGGGTGCCGCTGCCGCTACAACAATATTTCCACTGTTGGGTTCTTCAGGTTGAGCAACCCCCGCAGAGACATTTGGAGAGGTGATGCTGATATTAAAACAGTAAGCACCGGCCATTGGCAGTGTACCAAGTATCAGAGATGCCAATGACCGAGCAAACCTAGCATCCGCAATAATAGCATGGACTTGCAACCGGAATTTATGCTGCACAATTGATGGCCGAAGTACCTACCTTCCCAAGACATGGCCGTGTGTCTATACTGAGCCCCACCTTATTGAACAAAGGTGCTCACAACCCAATAGAAAGAGTCTTTTGAGATTTGGGACATCCACCACCATAGTTTTGAAGTCAAATACCTTGATTACACATCCTGAAAGGTCTAGCTCCACTAGATTGGGTAGCCCACGCAAAAACAATTTTTCCAACTGTGCGCACCCTTCTAGGGATATCTTGGAGGTTTTGACATCCTTCTTATCTACATTAGCAGATGAACACTTTGGGCGAGAACTTTCTGGAGCTAGTAGCTCAGTGGCTGATGTCCATTGGGATGCTGCTCCATAAGCATCAAAACTGAATGACCTCAGAGAGGAGTTAGCCAGCACAACATTTTCTAGCCCACAACAACCATCAAGAACAAGCACCTCAAGTTTTCTTGCCATTGACAGGCTTGTTGGTAGGTTTTCCATGTCACTGTTACCAGAAAAATCAAGTATTTCTAGCTTTGTCTTGTCTCTAAATGACTCGTTGATGTCCATTGATGTCCTGTTGGCTTGACATGGAGGTTTGATGATTCGGAGCCTTTGAAGGTAAGGCAGCCTTTTCTGTAATTTGTTCGTGTACTGCCAACCCCTGACTCCCTCTATGTTTAGCTCCAATATGTTGGCCATAAGATCCACCTTTTCCTCCGATAAAATCTCTTCCCAACATGTGTAGCGTAGGTCAAGCACACACAGGCTATGCAGACATGTCCAATTGGTGATGCAGTTCTGTTCTTCAAGCTTAGTCTTATTGAGATCTTTGCAGTGGTCTAATCCAAGGAATCTTAATTTTTCACAGTGGAGGAAAGGAGGTGATGCAAAACTGAAGGAACAATAAGACAGAGTAAGCACTGCAAGGTTGTTGCAACCTTGAAACAAGCCATTTGGTAATCCAGACGAGCTATTAGTTTCTTGAAATTGTATGAAGATTGATGATGCCCTTGTCATTAGAGTTTTTGTATCCTCATGTAGTTTCTTGTACTTCAAGGTGATAGAAACCCAATGGGGAGACCCCTTTCCGAAAGGCACATTGTCATCTGTAACCACCACTAAAGGATTCTTCGGATCTTCCTTGAATTTGTCACACACCACCTTGAGCACATAAGTTTCACACTCAGAACTTATTTCTTTATGCAATGCATTACTTATCTCCCTTGCTCTACTCCCTTGGATGATGCCATCACACATCCAATAGTTGGGAGCATGAGCTGAAGTCCAAGCAAATATAGTCTTCCTCTGAAAAATGTACTGCATTAGTAATCTGTACAGACAACAAACCGTAACCACTGTTGGGTCGATGTCCCACATACATGGGTAGCATGCAACTATGCTATCAGTCTCTTCACGAAACACTGCATAAATCTGTGAACTTGTCAAATTGATGGCCCAGTAGTTGCAGGTAATGAAAAGACGTACATATCTTGACTTATCTAGTATCTTGCTGGGGTCATGAATGGTAAAAAGATATCTTCTAAAAGCCCATATTATTATGCAGTGATATTCTGGAATACCAAACTGGCTTAAGAAAACCTCCTCGTCACTTCCATTAAGAAAAATCATCAGAAATCTACTTTCTCTCAGGGTTTGGTCAATTATTGCAGCAACCTGCCATATCACATGCCTGGAGCCTTGGTCCACCCCATCGATGTCATCCTCCTCATCCTGCTTGTCAAACAAGGCCATGGTGTCATGGTCAAGTTTTAGCTGCTCTGCAATTCTTCTCTGCATCACCCTTTTGCTTATCCAGGTCGAACAATCTATGTAAATTGTTCTACCAAACTGTAATTCTGGGGGAGGAGCTTTCATTGCTGGAACTGCTTGTGCTATGGATCTAAGCACTGCCGCTGCCCCAAAACCACTCCACCATCAAAATAAATGATATTCTTGTCAATGTTTTTCTGAACAATATCAAGTACTTCTTCTCTAGCGCCATCGACGTCTGTTGCATCAATACTCCGAAATGGAGTAATCTAAGCAATAATAAGTAGAGTGACGCCATGTTAGTATATTGCAGCTTGTACCCACGTATACTTAGTGTGAGAGCAAATGATACCGGTATAAACCAGCAAGTAGATTGTGCAATGCTATTTGAAAACTCCTTTGAATCAAAAGTAAGGCTACCTTTGATAAGTATTGCAATAACTAAAGTACTCCCTCCTTTCCGGTTTATAAGGCTCAATTCAAAAATCTCACCAACCAAGGCAGATGATAAGTGGTGAAATATTTTTTGTAGTTTGCAAAAGCACCCAATTAATGCTTTTATTTTCCTCAAAAAATTATGTTTACGAATGCATTAATTGCAATGCATGCATGCATAAAATGTATGCATTGGTCAGTTTTCTCTTAATACTTGCATGCAATGATTTAATGCACTTTAAAGTCTGAACATGTGATGGGGAACGACCAAATCGAGCCTTATAAAATGGAAAAACTAAAATTTTGAGATAGGCCCTATAAACCGGAAAGGAGGAAGTAATACAGTACTCCCTCCGTTCCGAATTACTTGTGGTAGGTATGGATGTATATAGATGTATTTTAGTTCTAGATACATCCATTTCTGCGACGAGTAATTTGGAACGGAGGGAGTAGTACTGAAAAACTATAGTAAACGGATGGCTTATCAGAGCTCGGCCCTGCTGATTCGTCGTCCACACATCTAACCGCTTAACCATGAAGTCCACCACCATCATCTCGCACACCGATGGGATTCCGCTGATAGTTGTGCTGGACTATCACAGGCCTCCCGGGTTGCCCCAGGGGACTCCAGAGGCAACACGGCGCCACCACAAAAAATCCTCCCCACCGTCAGGCCAACCCCCTCACCGCCGCCGCCCATCTCTTCCCCCTCGCCGTTCCAGCGCGTCACGCGCCGGCGATCTGCCTTAGGGGCCGCCGTGGAGACGCGTCCACGGCTGCGACGGAGTGCGGCTCGCCTGAGGGTACTAGGTCACGTGGATCTGGAGCCCAGCGCCTTTCGTTGGGAGCTCATGTGGCAAACAGCGACAGCGATGCACACAGGCTAGCCCGACTGGGTTGGCCCATTAGGGCATGTACAATGGTGGCATATGGTTATATATGCCCCATGACAAAAAGTAATTTGAGGCACCTACATCTATTTTTTCTCCCCAATGCAAGCTACTATTAGTGGGCCTCATTAAGAATTAGAAAATAAAGACTTTAGTACACATGCATCTCTACCTTTTACTCTAACATTTTTAGCTTTTGTCACCGGACCACACTTTTTCTCTTCAAGCACCCGCCTCCTGAAAAGGATCCCGCTTCCCTATCCGAACCTACTTTACATCATATCCGATCCTGCATGGCATGTGAGGCATCACCTTGAGGCTATGCATTGTACATGCCCTTAGTGGACGACGCTGTAGCGAGTTTCTTACTGTAGCGTGGTTTTGCATTGTAGCGGCCCGGACACGGTAGGCCCTTTTTAGGTTATTTTAATCTTTATTTTTATAAAAAAATGGATTTATGAACAATATTTTTTGAGAATACAAACATTATTTGAAATTCCAGAATGTTATTTGAAACACTTTTTTTTTGAAAAGGTGAATGCTTTTTGAGATTGAGATTTTTTTAAAGCATTGTTTGATATTCTGAACAATTTAAAAAAGACAGTACTCCCTCTGATCCAAATTAATTGACACAACATTGATAATTTCAAAAACACTACTACTGTGGCTGCGTCAATTAATTCAGATAGGACGGAGTAACATTTTTTTATAGTATCTTGGTATTTTTTGAAAATGCAAAGATTGTTTGAATTTTTAAACAAAATTTCAAAAACATGTTATTTGAAAATTTGAATATTTTTTTAAAATATGATTATGTTTTGAAATTTTAGAAGATTTTCATAAAACACCGATATTTTTTGAAAAAAGGAAACTAAAAAGGAAAGAGAAGAAAAGTAATAAAAAGAAAAAAAAGAAAACCAAGAAAACCAGTAAAGAAAAAACAGTTCAGAAACCTTCTAAAAAATTCCCAAAACTGGTTGGCTTTCACTGTGCAATATGCTCAAAGTCTATCAGCCCATATCACGCGCTCAGGTCTGATCCATGTGCGAAGCCCCGGCAATTGGACGCATTGAGCGTCCAATAGGGAATTCACCTTCGGTGTCGTCTAAGTTCTCGTGTGGTGTGACGTTTGGTCTGAGTTTTTTTAACTAGATTGGGCGTGAGTTGAGGCCTATGCACATAACAACATTTCTAACTAGTCCCTTCTAATTTAGCCCTTTAAACAACCCCTTATACCTTAACTTCTTGTATTTAAGGAGTTCACTAAAAATGGTTCTTAGCCAAACCCTTAAAACTTAACTTCCTAAAAATAGATCCAATCTGAGATCGGTCTCCAGCCGACACAACCTGTGTCTGGAACACCAACTGACGGTGCAAAATACCGTCAGATCCCTCGGTAGGGGGTCCAAACGTAGCTGCAAGTCTTAGATCAGAGCTCACGTAGAGGGTTTATCCAGGTTCGGCTCTCTGTAGAGTGATACCCTACATCCTGCTTGCTTTAATTATTCATAGTGGAAAGATACCTCGTGCGAGGGGTTATAATGGTGTATGAGATTGCTACTGAGAGTTGTTATCTGAGAGGAGATGCCATAGAGGATTGCCCGACCTCCCTTTATTCCTCGCCCTCTATTTGTGGCACCTTCCTCCTTTTCGGTGCCCACATCATCCCTCCTCTTGCATGTTCACTATTAGATGGCTTCGACATTTCTTACCACAACCCATGTTGTTGTCTTGCTGCTTTGTCCTACATTTATGTTCTCTATATTGGTGTGTTGTCTTCGCTGGATAGCTTTCTTCGGCTTTCTCTTTTTCTACTTGACATTTTCCTCCAAAGTCGAGAGGCGACAAAGTACTCATTATCTTGCCGCAGTACTCCCTCCTTCGATGCTTTGTTCCCATGGAGTGCTAGCAGAGAAATTTAATAAGAGTGGATACCACATTGTCCTATTCAACGAGCCTAATGTGGATGAGGGGTGTCACATGGAGCGGAGGTTGCCATGTCCGATGCTTGTTGGAAGAAGTGGTTCACTTCCTAGTTTGAGGCCAAGTGGTTAGACCTTAGATTCTCTCGCCATCGATCTCCTTTATTCTAGTGTCGTGGTTCTCCCTCCTTTGAGGCTTCCTCACCCCCACTCCAAAGGTAGGGATGAAGACTTTAACAAGAGAGATAACCATATAATCCATGTTCGACTGGTTAGATGAAGACTAGTGATGCTGGATCTTTATGCCAAACGCAAAGTTAGCAAGCAAGCCCTCTTTCCGGTTGTTAGGGCATGTCTTTCTCTAAGTAGTTTTGGTGATTGATGACAATGCTTTTGCAGACTAATCGTGTGCATTGAGCTTTCAGATATTTATTCATTGGCATGAGACGATTCATTTCCCCTCGGTGTTTAAGTAGAAGACGGTGTGTTCCTTCATTTCAGTTTTGGTGGACTTGAGTCATAGGAAACACTGTACTATCAAGAGGGGGTCCGTATCGGAAAGGTTAGCGTGGAATCAACACCTACACGTCCCCTTTGCACCCCTAACTCTTTCCCGCATCTTTGGAGGATCCTTCATTGTCTCGGAAGTGGGCTTGATAGTGATCCAGTGGTAGTAACGTGGCGCCAAGCAACAATACCGCCCAAAGCCACAGGCGGCAGTATCACTGTTCATCAGCGGTAGTACCGCCCGGGGATCTCGGCAGTAGTATCGCTTCCGTGCCGTGCTATTACCGCCTCGATTCGAGAGTGTTGATACGTCTTCAACGTATCTATAATTTTGGATTGTTCCATGTTGTTATATTATCATTATTGGATGTTTTACAATCATTTTATACCATTTTTGGTACTAACCTATTGACATAGTGCCAAGTGCCAGTTGCTGTTTTTGGATGTTTTTTACATCGCAGGAAATCAACACCAAACGGAGTCCAAACA